TTGCCTTATTTTTATACCATATTAGGTACATAGGTACATCCCGCCGGAACTGCAACTCCGAAATAATAGGTGTCTCTTATGGTGATTGTTCAGCCTAAAACAAAATTATAAAATTAACAATTATCCTAATTTATATAAATAATACTCGCATGTTAAGCTGATGGTAATAAGTAACCTACGACTATGATGCAATATACATTCTTCCCAAATATCGGAATTTTTCAACATTTTAAACGTGAAAAAGTAACAACAGAAAATAGAGTTACCTTTACATTAGTATGGATATCCTTAGAGTACTCGTAGCTACGTAATAACCAATATATTGTATAGCCTCTAAAATCTATCATGAATACTATGCTATCGTCATATCATATAAGACATAATAATTCTTTATAGTGTAGTCGTATACCTATTTATAATAAAGAAATTGTCAAATTTACACATTATTTTTTTTAATATATTGAGACATCAACACACAGCACCACCTAGTTCCATCGTAAGCTACGAGGCCTGTATTTTGGGTACCAGATAGTTGATACACTACACATATATAACTTTAAATAAGTACATACATATTATAAATATAAACACCCATGACTGGAGTACAAACATTCGTGCTCATCACACAAATGAATGCCCCCAGCGGGACTCAAACCCGCGACCGCTTGTACAGCAAGTAGGGTCACTACAAACTGAGCCAAACGTGTCGTTAGATTTTTTTTCGTCGTTACTTTATCCTCAGTAGATAATGTGACCTATACTTTTATAAGCATCATACACAGACTAAGTACTAACTTTATAGGCCGAAGTTAGTTATGCTATTTGCCGGTACTAAATCTGCCCACCGCAACAGCAACTTTTCGGCTTTACGTTTAACGGCGTATTAATACAAACAGCCATTTACGTTAAGTGGCTGTATATGTATTTATTATGGTGTAGTACAGGTAACACATTGAGAGAATATCGAACCTGTAACCGATAAAATGATTTCGTATCAATATTTGTAACAGCACCTAGTAAATAAAATTATAAATCTTTACTAATATTATAAAGAGGAAAGATTTGTTTGTTTGTACCGAATAAGCTTCAAAACTACTGAATCGATTTAGATAAAATTTAGTAAGAAGATAGTTTGAGACCCTGAAAGTTAAAAGGATAGTTTTTATCCCGGAAATCATCCCTTAAGGGGGTGAAAATGGGGATATGGGTGGGATGGGTATATATAGAGTCTATCAAACCACCTTCATGAAACTGTGATCACAAGGCGAACGATAGATCTACCTACGACCATCTCATGGTAACTTACATTGAAGCATAGTATAAATTATTTTAATATTTTTCTATTAGTCCACACACATTAGGAGTCATTACCACAGCTCTATTGTTGTTTTGTTGAGGGGTCGATGCCCTCCGTAATTACACGTGCAAAGTTAGCACCTATTGTTCTGGCTTTCAAATCATTATGTCACTGGTCCTTTTATTTATATTATTATATACTAAATACAATTTACTTAGTAGAAAGTTTTGAGTGATCAGATTATAGGAAATAGTAAAGGTTCAATCAATATTTATTGTACCTTGGGTTTGTAGGTTTGTCTTACTTCAAGTAATAAATGTGTGGCTTAAATAATTAATATTATATTTTATATTTTTTCTTTATGGTTATAAATATATAATGGCAACAATAAATATAGATAGATTACTAAGTAATTTAAATAAAACTTAAAATGTCAACTATTCGCGTAAATCTAAGAAGGTATTACAATTTTAATTTTTTTATTTTCATAAAATTTTGTAACATAAGTATGCAGATTAAAATTAGGTATTTCCAATGGCTATGGCAAAAATGTATTTGAAAAATATCTTAATGTCATTAAATAGTCAAAACATCTTAATGGAATTTTGTTATGTTTCCAGAAAACCCTAAAATATAAAAAAAAGTAATCCATCATCAGACCGCACACGAAAGAGTCAGACAGCGTGGCACCGGACTACATCTGTATCAGACCATTCATTTTAACACTTTCAATTCAATATAGAAACCTTCTTCCCTATTGTTATATTAATCAACCAAGTATGACGCAAATATTTGGTTCTTTGTGTGCAATTTTAGTCCGAAAATTAATAGCATCGTAAATAATATTTGTCATAGAAAAAAAAATCGTTTAGATTCGTATTCTTTTAATGTACAATACAGATGGGAACGTCTTAATTTAGAGTAATATCTGTATATTACTTGTTCATACTATAAATATTTATATCGTAATTTAGAATAACTATTAAAAATATTTTTAACCGACTTCCAAAAAGGAGGAGGTTCTCAATTCGTCGGAATCTTTTTTCATGTATATTCACCGATTACTCAAAGACGCCTGAATCGATTTAGAAAATTTTTTTTTATTTGGAAGGGTATACTTCCCAGGTGGCCCAATTTAAATTTTATCGAAATCGGTCAAGCGGTTTTTTTTAAAAAAATCAACAAATAAATATTTCGCTTAATCGAATATGTTATTAAAAATCTTTCTTCTTAAAAATTACCTGCTTATTACGTCTACACTAAAAATGGAAAAATAAAAACTTAAAAAAAACGACTTCCAGGCACTAAAATGTAAAAAATAACTAAATGGGGGTTTTCATTTAGGATAGATACCTAATCAGATATTTTCGAAGTCGGTGCCAGCCAATGCAAAGTAAATCTAATATGCATATTTCGATACGTAAAATAAATTACAATTTGATATATAATATTTTAACTACATATAATTAGAGTTCATACCTAATCCTAATTACTTATTAGATATTCATATCTTAAAATATTGTTGACTGGCAACGACTTCGAAAATATCTGATTAGGTATCTATTCTAAATGAAAACCTCCGATTAGTTATTTTTTACATTTAAGTATCTGGAAGTCAGTTTTTAAAAAAAATATTTTTTTATTATAATTGAAACAACATGAACATATATTATAACGAGTAATATAAGATGAGGCTACGTACTAAACTTTTGCCGAACAATCTCCCCTTTGACTTTTTGTTCTATGCATCTATACATATAATAAAATTGTAACTAAGCTAAATCTGTACATTAGATATTTTTTGGAAAATCTTATTGAAATAAACATTATTATCGATACAGAGGCCGAATCTATGGTTTTTAGAATTTTTGTATGTCTGTCTATCTGTTATCGCATCACACTAAAACCACTGGAGGGATTTTGATGAAATTTGGTATGGTGATAGCTGGTAATTCGGGTCAACATATAGGATACTTTTTACCGCGGGAAAATATCTCATTTCTGAGAAAAAATACAAAACTGCAATGTAAGAGTATAATAATATGTAAATCCTAAGAATTTGGTTTTTGGTCACCTGAACGCGGGCGGAGCCGCGAGCAATGCTAGTAACCTATATAAAAAACAACTAAGAGAAAGTGAGTGTTAAATTAAAAAGGTTATGAAACAGAAATAAGTAACTAATAAGATATATGTTGACATCAATAGCGAAAGATTCTCAACTACAAAAAGATCACGATATAATCCTTTTAATAAAGCTAATAGTTTTCTCGAATTTCATACAGATATGATTTAGTGCTGAAAAGTTAGGCAGTAAATCAATGGTTATCGTGGGACATGGCCAATACTCTTGTCATTATGACCTCGACCAGACACGTGCTCTCTCATTACCCATAGCTATTCCAACTTGGAGATTTAAAATAAATAAATTTTATTACGCCATCTGTCATATTGGAAATAAAACTTTAATGGCTTCGGACCAGAAGTCAACTCACGCGCACGTCATTTTCCCTTTGACGTTTACTATCGATGAAACTTAAATTACTGTGAATGCCTCAGTATTGGTATTATGTACTTTCTTCATTAAGAAGTCGACGTATGATTTATTATTTCCCAAATATTAAACTCATTATTTGTACTGATGACAGTAACTTCATAAATTTAGATGAGATTCGTCCCTTTTCAAGGTTTCACTGCTGGGGACGGGCCGGAATACGAGGAGGATCAGGTCATAGTCCACCACGCTGGCCAAGTCCGGGTTGGCGGACTTCACACGTCTTTCGAAAACTTTTCAAGTTCTCTCGTTTCCTTCACCATAAGTGCTAATCATCTTGGAAATAATTCGCGCGTGTAGATATCAGAGATGAGATTTAAACCCGTTTCACTCGGTTTCCCAAGGGCGAGCGCGTTACCACTGGGCTACCACTGCCTATTAAATAATATATGTAAGAAGATAAATATTGAACACTTGCGGTATCGCTACTATAAACCATTATATTTGTGTCTAATTAAGACATGGATTGTATAAAAATATGTATAATCCCTAGTTATTAAAAAAAATCGTTGTTTTCATGTACCTATATAAATTTATATATTCTAACGTGTACTGCAAAATATTTAATACATAGAGATGTGCGCACACGCGCTGACCTTAAACTCGTTTAGGTTCCGGATCGCAACTCGGCTGTTATGGTATACCCTTGAATGTGTAAATATTACTGAAATCTACATCAATCAAAGTACATACAGGTCTAGTTTTAGCTAGGCTTTTATTATAATAAAATGAAAAATATATATTTTATACTTTTGCGCATTTAACAATAACTACAACCTGTACACAACAATGACATTTTTAAACGTTTTTTTTATTAGCTCATCTGTAGCTATCTATTTATCTGTGTAACGGTGTTGAAATGTCAGGCACCTCACTGTCTGTCATCTGTCTATTGTCAATGTGACAGTTTATATACGTAGCAATATACTCTGTGTGCTTCCTGCTTCCTTCTAAAAATGATAGACTTAGACGACTGTTGTTTAAATGTTTTATTTTAATAATAAACGCCAACACGTTCCATAAAATACAACGTAGTTTTTATTTAACATGGTAGCAGAGCGTAGTTGGTGCTAAAAGAAAAAGGAATCATCATCACTGAGTTGCGATCCACGTGGATGAAATATAATGAGAAAAAATCAAGACAACGCAAACATGTCGTCGGGGGCTGCGGTCTCGTCAATGTCGTTGTTGCCGTGCTTGGGTGAGAAGACAAACTTCAGCACGTGGAAGTTTCGCCTCAAACTGATGTTAGAAGATAAACAAGTTGCATACGTATTAAAAGAAGGAGACAATGAAAAAGAGAAATCCGCCGAATTTATCAAAGACGATTCGAGGGCAAAGTCTTTAATTGCAATGTGCGTTTCCGACCGCTACATTGAAATAATAAAGGATGGGAAAACAGCGAGAGAGATGATTACGTTATTGGAAAATACATTTGAGAGAAAAAGTGTCTACAACAGGTTCTACCTAAAACGCAAATTAATAACTCTAAAGTGCAATGAGCCATTAGAAACATACCTCATAAAGTTCTCATCAATTGTTAATGATCTCCAGGCGATTGAAGTCAAAATTGATGATGAAGATAAGATTTGTTACCTGCTGTCATCGCTGCCTAAGGAATATGATCCTGTAATTACATCCATCGAGACCATGGCTACAGAGAAGAGACTGACATTTGATTTTGTAAAAGCCAGATTGCTGGACGCTGAGACAAAAATCATCACAAACAAGGACACAACCGATCAAGAGAGTGCATTCATCACATGTTTTACTTGTGGTAAGCCGGGACACAAAAGCTATGAGTGTAAAGATAAGATTAATGAAAAAGAGCCACATCGAGGCAGGAGCCGTGGGAGAGCTGCTGGCCGAGGTCGCAGAGCTGCACGAGGACAACCCACACGAGGTCGAGGACAACGTGGTCAAGCCCAAGAGACATCCCTAGCTGGTAAGGTGGAAGTTGGATTTTTTGCCAGTGAATACATGTTTGGATTAACTGAAAATTCTAATATTACATTTATTGTAGATTCAGGTTGTACCCAACATATTATAAGTGATCAATATGAACAATATTTAACTGATATTAAAACATTGCATAAAAGTGTTAAAATATATGTTGCTAATGGTCAATATATAGAGAGTAATAAAAAGGGAAAGTTGAAGTTCATGTATAAACATATAAAAATAAATATAGAGGCATTGATTGTAAAGAATATTTCATATAATTTATTGTCAGTAAATAAAATAACTGAAGCAGGATTTCATATAAAGTTTAATAAAACAAAAGCTGTAATAAGAAATAAAAATATATATGTTATTTGTTATGCTGAGGGAATGTTATATAAATTAAATGCTCAATTATGTAGTGAAATATGTAATATCAGTAATAACAAGAGTGATGATGTTCATTCTAACATTTGGCATAGACGGTTAGGTCATTTAAATAAAAAAGGATTAGGTATTATGAATTTACAGGTTTCTGAAAAAGTTTGCGGCCCATGCATAGAAGGTAAAGCTACGAGAACACCATTTAAGCAGACGCCGAGACCTAGATCTAAGAGAGTAGCAGAGTTGTTGCATACAGACATTGCAGGTCCTACCAAGAACTGTGGTTTAAACGGTGAGAAATATTTTATGACTGTAATTGACGACTACTCCCATTTCTGTGTTGTATATCCATTGGTGCATAAGTCAGAAGCGACAGAGAAACTTATTAACTACATAATTAAATTAGAAAATGAAACTGGAAATAAAGTGCAAAGAATAAGATGCGATAATGGTACAGAGTATACAGCAAATAGACTGAAGAATTTTTGTAACAATAAAGGAATAAATATAGAATATACTCTACCTTATACGCCACAACAAAATGGAGTTGCAGAGCGCTTGAACAGGACTTTGTGTGATAAAACTAGAACTTTGTTTGCAGAGACGAACTTACCTAAATTCTTATGGTGTGAAGCCATTCAGTGTGCTGCATACCAGTTGAACAGATCTCCATCCTGGGCTATCAACTTTAATACTCCATGTTTTATGAAAAATGGACATAATGATTTATCAAGACTGCGAGTCTTTGGATCAAAAGCTTGGACAACTATAATACCGAAACAGGATAAGTTAAGTAAAAGAGCAAAACCTACAAGAATGGTTGGTTACAATACTGTGGGTTATAGATTATGGAATCCAGAAGATAATACAATAATAATATCAAGAGATGTCATATTCGATGAAAGCGATTTTAAATATATCGAAGACAAAGAAAGTGAAGAAGAACAGCTTATTTAAGAAGAAATAGACTATCAAGTACAGAAAACTGCAGAAGTCAGAGACAAGGAAATTAGAAGCACAGAACCTGAGACTACAGAATGTCAAGATATTCAAATAGAAGCAGAAAAAGAAAAGAACTTAAATAGAGAAAGTGGACTAGTAAAGAAGTCAAGATCAGGTAGAATAGTAAAACGACCAGCGCATTTAGAAGATTATGCATCAAACATAGTCACATGTTTGTGTGCAAATACACCAAACTCATTTGAAGAGGCAGTGAGTAATACAGAGTGGAAACAAGCTATTCAAAAGGAACTACAAGCACTGGAAAAACTAGATACATGGGAAGAAAAGGAGCTGCCTACAGGAAAGAAAGCCATAGACACAAAATGGATTTTTAAACGAAAAGAAGAAGGAACTAAAAAGGCAAGATTAGTTGTAAGGGGCTTTCAACAGAAGAAAGAAGATATTTTTGACAGCAATTATGCTCCAGTTGCAAGACACTCTACAGTTAGGATGTTCATATCTAAAGCTCTACAAGAAGATTTAATGATAAATCAATTAGATATACCTACCGCTTTTTTGAATGGAAAATTAAAGTCAGAAGTTTATATTAAAGTGCCACAAGGATTAAAGGTGAAAAATTCTAATTCTAAAACAGTATTAAAACCTAAAAGAGCACTTTATGGATTAACAGAATCTCCAAAATGCTGGAATGAAACAATAGATGATTTTGCGAAGAACAATGGATTTCAACGTTCAGAATATGATTATTGTATGTACTACAAAAATGACTGTTGGATGTTAATATATGTAGATGATATTCTTATAATTGGAAATGGAGATGACATAATAAAGGAATTGAAACAAAAGTTCAATGCGAAAAATCTAGGAAAAATGGAAAGATTTTTAGGTATGGAAATACAAAGAAGTGAAGACACTATAATCATAAAACAAACTAACATGATAGAGAAAATATTACAGAAGTTCAATATGAGTGATTGTAAAGGAATGAAAACACCTATGGAGATAAATTATAATATACAGATATATGATGATGAAGAAATATTGGATGTACCTTATCGTGAACTGATTGGTAGTTTAATCTACTTAACTGTAACATCAAGACCGGATTTGACATTTGCAGTATCTTATCTAAGCAGATACCTGGACAAACCAACTGAACAACTATGGAAAGCTAGTAAGAGAGTTATACGCTACCTAAAAGAAACTAAATATAAAGGACTAGTATTTAGAAGAACTACAGATAATAATTTGTATGGATTCTCTGAGGCAGATTTGGCCGGAGATAGAAATGATAGAAAAAGTGTAAGTGGTGGCATAATTTTACATGGAGTGAATCCCATAGCTTGGTTTTCAAAGAAACAGTCATGTGTTGCTCTTTCAACAGCAGAATCAGAGTACATTGCTGCTGCTGCCACAGCTCAAAAGTTGGTAAATCTTAAAGGTCTCAGTCAACATTTAAAGTTCAAAAATGATGCCATCTTACTCGTGGATAATATAGGAGCAATTTCTATGTCTAAAAGTTATGAAAATTCAAAAAGAACTAAACACATAGATATTAGGGCTCATTTTCTTAAAGATATTGTTGAAAAGGGCATCATTGCTATTGAATATATTAATTCTAATGATAACTTAGCTGACATAATGACTAAAAGTTTATGTAAAGACAAATTTTTAAAATTTAGGGATCAATTTATGTGTTAGAAAGTATTATGATAGGAGGAGTACTACTGTAAACTCATATTCTATGATTGTTGTTATTATTATGTAATATTAATATTAAGTAGCTATTTGTTGTGTAAAACTGAAGTTAATTAAGAAAAATTTTTAAGTTCAGGTTAATGTAAGTTAGTGAATATTTTTAAGTTGAAATTGTTTTGTAAGAAGTAAATATATTTGATAAGTGATGTGCTTGATACCAAATTTAAATTTGAGAAATGTTAAATTCGAGGAGGAGTGTTGAAATGTCAGACATCTCACTGTCTGTCATCTGTCTATTGTCAATGTGACAGTTTATATACGTAGCAATATACTCTGTGTGCTTCCTGCTTCCTTCTAAAAATGATAGACTTAGACGACTGTTGTTTAAATGTTTTATTTTAATAATAAACGCCAACACGTTCCATAAAATACAACGTAGTTTTTATTTAACAAACGGAATCTTTGAACGCAATTTTTACCCACTTCATAAGTTCAGATTGAACTAGAACTTGGCATATTTAACAAGGAAGATGACAATACAATAATAATTTATTTAAAAAATACATTTTTATAGTACATCAAATTAAAAAATGGAAAATAAATTATAGTTTAAAAAACTAAAAACACGCTTTAATGATGGACCGAACTAAAAAGTAAAATAAAGTGTATGAAATAAAGTGATTTACTATAAAATTAATGTTATTGTGAAGAACCCTAAATATTATACAGCTTTAACTCCCTGTTTATTGCAAGTGCTAATGAAAAGTAGCCGATTTATTATTATCATATATGAACTACATTATTGTAAAGTTTTATTAAAATCGAATCAGTAGTTTTTGTGTACTTATCTTATAGATTTTTAACTATCCCACGGGAACTATTTCATTTTCCGGGATAAAAAGTATCTAAGATGTTGCCCAGGGATATGAGGTACTACCATGCAAAATTTCATTCAAATCGGTCCAATAGAATCGGAGATTAGCCCGTACAAACAGACAAACAGACAGAGAAACAAAAAAATGAAAAAAATCTGGATTTGTTCTATTTGTCTTCTTACATCGCCCTGACTCGGTTTTTAGCATTTTTTTGATATGTACATTCATTCGACCTCTACTCTTTTATTATAGTATAGATTATAGTATAGATTTTCATTACGAGATATTATAAAGCTTTAATTGTCATTACATTTTAATCGAAAACATTATAACAAGGAATAATTTAAAAGGCACAACCAAAATACCTTTTTTCATAAACCACTTCTATTGATAGGAGATACCTGAAGTAAAATGTATTGTACAAGTTCAATTTATAAAAGGTGATCTTCTTAATCGTACTTGTAATATTCATTCAGTTCAATACCTTTCTCAAATTATAAATAAAAAGCAGTCACCACTCAAAACTCCATCCAGCCAAATTAAATTCATATATACGCAAAGTAATAACAGTGGGCATCAAAAGGCCTCGACTGTCCGTGCAGAGCTTTCCTTTTAATTAGACCCTAAGTACTCGTTAAAAAACAAGATCTTCCCAAACAGACAAAACGCGCACTAACAAACGCCGGCTATATAAAAAAACGCTGGATAAATAAGTGGAAAAATACAGGTAAGTCCAAGAGAGGTTTTTGTACGGGCCGGCCGGCCACTTAGGTCATCCTGCGAAATAAAGGCCCAAGTTTTTTTATATCGCTTTTAAATGCGAAGCCCGTACGTACGTCCAACCCGACCTGCCTCATCCCCTTCTACGATAATGTGAAAGGAAACAAACGAAAGAAAATGTTTCCGAGCGCCTAGTTCACTTTTATTGAACATTTGTACGTAGTTTCAATTGCAAATAGTTCGTGTAATTCAGTTACCTGCCTCTGCGAAACGAATAAAAATTGGACATCGGAAAACGTCTATCGGTGTACTACCTGACGGAAAGTGGGGTATTAACAAAATCAGCGAGACGCGTAACAACGTGCGGCACTATTATGTTGAAAGGCTTTGTTGTTTGTACGCACGGTCTCTTTGTTCTCCCGATCACCGCAAAGTATAGTGTTAGGGACTTCAAATATAAAAATCTTATAAATTAACCATATTGATAATATTGGCTTTATTGATTTATTTTAATTAATTCGGGGGATCCCCGAGCACTTTTCTAATAGCGGAGACGGACTAGTGGTGCCCTTACGATCCAAATTCATATAAAATCTTGGCTTGTTTTCGACTACCTACCCGCCTTTGATATAATAGTCCCCGTGTGTGAAGCTATACGTTTTCAATTCGGCCAGCGAGGGAGGTTTAGTGCGCTCGACGGCCGGAGGGGGCGCGGAGTGTTTGAAGCGGTGATTAGTAATGCGGTGGGGGCTTATGGCGAAATAATCTTAGTGGAGACGTTAATGAGAAAACATTTTGCTGGTCGCTGGGGCACTTGACTATTAATTAATTTCCTTTGACTTTTTGTAAAAAACATTCAATTATACCATGTTCTAAGGCTATCGAGAGTTCGAACTAATCGGCTCAATTGTGGTACATATATTATATTGTTTAAATCATTTGTAAATAGATTTTTTACTTAATTTCTCAATACTTATTGGTTTTGAAACATTATTATTAATATTCTATTAAATGAATTATGCAAAAAGATCGAACT